GTTGCGGTTACGCGCCAATTCAAATTTTTAACATACTGAAAATTTTTAATATAACCAAAAGATTCGTTTATCGTACCATCAAACGATACAATGAAGACTCTAGTGTAGATGACAGGTCAAGAAGTGGTCGCCCTCGGTCTGTTAGGACTCCAGCAGTGATAANGTATTATTATTTTTCAGAATTTATCAAATTCAGAAAATAATGAAGTCTTTAACTTTTGTTACATGATTTAAAGGAGTTAATTACCCTTTAAAGTTAGTCCTTAGATGCCTCATTGGGTCCATTTTCTTTGTCATATCCTGTTTGGGCGTAAAATTTGATTTTGCTGCACTAAATTAGCACTTAAAAAGCACTAAATTTTCATTAAAAATTTTAGTGATTCTGTCCATTTGACCATTCAAGCTTTACACACATGATCAAATCTTTGCCGACGAAGCCCTAATGCAACTAGGATTCAAACTGGGAAATTAGGAATATACTTGTTTTTTAATTTACATTAATCATCCAAATAAAAAATTGACCTTGATAAAATCAAAAGGTCTGCTCGTTTATTGCCTCTAAGGCGGAACAAAGTTCGCCGGGTCAGCTAGTATATTATGAACTGTACTATTTATGTAGCTTTGTTTTATTTTCTACCCATTGGCTGGTAGCCTAAGTGGCTATTCTAGCTATGCTCGACCGAGTACCTTTCATTATCACCGTAAACATAGTCCTTGTGTGTATTGTCCAAACTAACAACACGCCATAACTAAAATGAAACCTATAAAACCGAACCAAGCGTGAAATTCATTTTCTGTCCCGCTCAATTTTTTTTCTTTTGTTTATGAAATACATACTTGGGTTTCTTCCGTGAGGCTAATAGGGATTATACAATGGATAAAAATCGGCACACAAAATTGCCGAAATCGCAATGAAATCGGGGGACTGGATTGTATTTATCTGGAGCAGGCAACCCTTCTTCTCAGTCGGACACTCTTGTCAGAGTGGTCGTGGTTGCGTTGACAGGCAACCCTAGAGGATCAGAAACTGTGTGCTTAGTGCGAGTTTTTTAACGTTCTCGATAGCGTAAAAGTTAACTCAAATTTGTATGCAATTGGAACAGCGCCCCTAGCGGCAAACGTAGGCAAAAGGCAATTCCATTCAAATATGAGCTAACTTTTACGCTATCGAGAACGTTAGAAAGCTCGCACTAAGCACACAGGGCGGTACTATTCTAACTCGACATCGCACAGCCAATGTAATTATACTGTAATTGACATTCATTACTATCCTACCCTACCCTCTATTTCGACGTGGTTGCCATTGGATACGAGTAAGTAACAAATAAAATATTCTTTCCCTTTGGATGTTGTTTGAACAATTCAATTGCTCATTCAAAATCCATCTGCCTTGACATTTCCGTGAGTGATTAAATAAATCAGGATACGTATTTTTGTAAGCTAAAATATGATTGACTAGCTTTTGCCTGCGACTTCGTCCGCGTGGAATAGTTCACAAATAATGCTTTATTTTAGAACAAATTTGGTTAGCATAAAAAACGTTATAGTGCGCCAACCTTAACATATAGACATATGCTGTCGCGGACTTTTTTTATATCTTTTCAAAGAGGAACAATTATGTCATACATTATTTTAGCGAAACATTAACCGTTTCTGCAGCACACGCAGCGGAAGCTCTCAAAAGGGAAAAAACCCCGATTTTGAAACATTCTTTATTGGTACTCCGCTTGTATTGGTCTTAGCGTGATGTTATATAGCCTTTAGCCTTCCTCGATAAATGGGCTATCTAACACTGAAATTGATGAATGAACAATGAATTTTGCAAATCGGACCAGTAGTTCCTGAGATTAGCGCGTTCAAACAAACAACCTCTTCAGCTTTATAATATTTATATGATTCGATTCGATAATGCTATGAAATTTTCTGACGAAGCGGTCTAGCGATGTAATAATGACATGCCGTCTTTAGAGGCTACATGAGGAGACTATTAAGACCATTCCTGTCACGAAGCAGTCTTCCACTCCGGCTTAAGATTGGAAGTGGTGGACATACGTAATCGTGACAATGGCCATCCGTGTTGAAACGAGTAGCGTCGTCTAAAGGGTCGTGAAAACACTTATTATCAAATCCGCCGTGAGGTTTTAGAACCTCTTTTGAGTCCACACAGGTAGGTACCACCACCCCGCCTATTTCTGCCGTAAAGCAGTAATACGTTTCGGTTTGAAGGGTCGGGGCTGCCTTTGTAACTATACCGAGACCTTAGAACTTATATCTCAAGGTGGTTGGCAGCATTTACGTTGTAGATGTTTATGGGCTCCGGTAACCACCAGGTGGGCTGTGGCCTCGGGCATCAATCTAGGCAATAAATAAATAAAAAGTTCGGTCTCAATTGAATTCAGAGGTACTCTAAAAGGGATGTGACGCCGCATCAACATTGTCATCGATCCCCCATGATCATAAATCCTAGCATTCCACCAGGTTCTGTACTCCCTCTGAACTATGCATCCGACAGATCGTGACAATCAAATTTCAATCAAATCTTTCCTACAGTGTACTTCGAAACTCTTGAAATAACTACTATTCTAGAATTACCCCGGACCTTACCATCCTTGAAACAATCCTAAGTATTTTAAGCAACGGAGCAACCCGAAGGTAATATTACCGATGTTCACAGGCAGCGATGAACACTTTTAATCAGTTGGGCTATATGCTCGATAATGAATTAGATAACAAAAAAAAAAAAAACGTGTATTTTTTTCTAATTCACGTAATTTATTTCATAGCACGTTATTTACGATCGTCAAATTGCAAACATACGTTATACAATTATTATAAAATATTAATACTCTTAATAAAATATCCTTACCGCATTACGATTCCAAATCGAAAAACCACAACAACACCGCATTCGGATAACATGAGAATTAATATCGAAAAACTCTAAAACCAACGAGATCACGCCGACGAAGAAACCACTGTAATAATGTTATTTAAGTATGTTTTTTGAATAAAACATTACAATAACACCATAAACTTAGAAAAGTATTAAGTACTCTGTGCTAAAAATCGATGAGAATGCAGACTGAACACGTCTAACAACGAACAAAATCGGTGCCGCACTAACTTATCATAATAATATAACTTGAATAGTGTCAGGATAGGGACGCTTAGCGCTATAAAATAACGCGTTATATTTTAATAATAAGACTACATTACGACGCTTGGAATAGTAACACAGTATCGCAGTATATTATGTGCATAGCGGTATTGACCGAAAAACAAAGTTAGACAAAATCAGTACACATGTCGTAGAATTGTTGTAAAAACCTTTTTCACATTTTTTGAGACACAGGTACGAAGAAATGAAAAAGCTATCTGTTTAGCATAAAGTTTCGAACTAACAGTCACCGAATTTCTATAAAACTTATTAGTAACAAAAAGCAAATAATAGCTTAAAAAAATAGAACACGCTATCGCGTTTTTGTTAATTTGGACATCACTATTGTCAAAACAACACTGGCAACAACATTGCACCACGAGTTTGCGCAATACCTCCAAGCGTACCTAACTCAATAAAAATGTATGTATCAATTTTATTTCAATTTTATTACGTACTTAGTAAATTCAACAATTAACCTTCCCTTTTATATGTATTCACGTCATTCATTTTTAACTTTTCATCGATTTCTGTAAAACTAGGCCATTGACCTGTTTAGTTGATTCAGTTGTCAATTTCATTTTATCTAAAAAGTAGATACCTATTAAGTTTTAAAAACGAACTAACACGGACAACGTGTCCTTTGATACGCTAATATACGCTTTCATGGTAGTCAATGTATGCCTAGTAATTCTATGGTAAGCCTACTGATATTTTATTATATTTTCTAAATAATGTTTTTAAGCACACTGGTCACTCGTAAATCAGCTGTGTAACATGATAACGAACGCGAAGCTTTTGTGAACTGAAGGCCATGTTATTTTTTAAAGATGAATTTTTTATTGCTGTTCCTCCCTTCAAACCGGAATGCAATAATGCTTTGTGGCAGAAATGAGCAAGTAATTTCGTTCGTTTCTCATTATATCGACATCGTGCAAATCAAATAATTCTACAAACAACACGAGTGTTCGAACCATTGCTTTTTATTTTTATCAACAATCAACAAGGTTTCAAGCGAATTAAATGGCTGATTAAAATAACAGATTATCAGATTATAATAATTTAACCAAAAAATAATAGCGAAAATAAACTTTTACATACTTTTGAGTAATTTATTTTTTGACCATGAATTATTTTGGATAATGGTGACTGCTAAATATTTTGAGTTAATTAGCCGATAAAGTCGATTTCCCACCAAAGCATACAGTTTAAGTTTATATCATATTGTCTTATTCTTTGCTGCACTACAAGCCCTCTTCTGGTCTGCATTCGTTAAACGTACATTATGCGTCATCATCAATGCGTGCTTTCTTGCCACCGGTGAATTAAAATTATCACGCAATCCTCGATTTTTGTAATATTTTCGGAAAACAGATCGCAATGTTTTTATAGCATGTAACGTGAATATATCATCAATGTATCTGTAAAGATTGTGTATCAAGATTTGAGGTTTTAATTTTGAAGAATTATAGAAACGTTGAATAAACAACAAATAAACAAGTGATAACGCTAAATACTAATTGTGAATTCGGTAGGCTACTACACTGCAGGATCTAACTGCTGGTATTGTCCCATCGTTTTATGTAACTTCACCGGGTATCTCATACAGCATAATAATATAGTTTAAGCCACGATACCTATGAGAACTTTGAAAAAAAGGCTTTGTATTCCGAGTACCTATTTTTGAGACTTTTTCTAGCACGGCGACAGGCGGCAGTCACTAACCCGTGTATCCATAATCCATAGATAATACACATAAAGAGTACTATAACTGTGTATAATCTATAACTGTGACTCTATGCTCCAATCAATGTCAAGAAATGTCATTAGTGCTTCTGGCGGTTAAATTAATGTTTTCATATAATTCCAGATTTTATAAATAGGAACTTTATAAACAAACAATGGCTGAAAAACTCGAAGATTTGAATTTACCACTCACAGTTGTAACTAGAATCGTAAAAGAAGCTCTTCCCAGTGGTGTATCGATTTCAAAAGAGGCGCGAACTGGCCTCGCTAAGGCGGCTTCAGTTTTTGTACTTTATGTGACTTCAGCAGCTACAAATATTGTTAAGAACAAAAAAAGGAAGGCTCTCACTGGGCAGGATGTAATAGATGCTATGAAAGACATAGAGTTTGATAGATTTGTGGAACCTTTAGGAGAAGCTCTGGAACATTACAAGACCATGGCTTCGGCACGAAAATCCGCTTCTATGAAGAAAAAAGATGAACAAGAAGACGCTGAGGTTATAGAAGACGATTGAATACTACTGCGACTTGAGTTTAAAATGTATAGTGGCGCTTAGTGGTGTATATTCAGAAACTGTGCTGAAAAACTATATGAAATAAGTTCAAAGAACCAATGCCTGTGTTACAAAAGTGATAAATGTTTAAATGAAACAAGTTTCCCATGAACATTCACAACAATTACCTTGCAATAATTAATCAGTTGGTAATAATGTATGAAGTGTTTTAAAATTAAATAAACTTTTATTAAAAACAAGTAAACTTCAAAAGCATCCCAAAATGAATTGTGTCCACTTACTTTTACATCAGTAAATTAACTACAATTAAAACTTAGAACTTCTCAAAATTTGTTTTTGCAATTTGCTAAAATTAAAAGTATTTTATTTGATTTATTACTGATATTTTTCTAAACTTAATTTATACTGCCATAAAAATTACTTAATGTTAGGACAATTGTTACTAGATCTGGTCACACATCGTTTTAAAACTTGTAATTACAAGAAAAATTTGTTAGAATCTGGCTTTTCTATTATTTTTCAGTATTCTAGAATAGTCTTAAGAGAAATTAAAATAGAAACTAATGGTTATGTTTGTGTGAAAACCTCTAATTATTCTCATTCAATATATCATACAATATTCAATGCCCTGCTTATCTATGGTGGTAGTTCTCGAAACTTGGTAGTTTGTTTTGGCTTTTGTCAAGAGTGGGACATGACAACCAATTTCAATTAAATGATATCAATGCTTGAAAGGCAAACGTGACTAAACGACAATAAGTGCTTTATACATAAATGATAGGCAATAACCATATTCGATGCGCAAAAAAATATATATTTCTAGGTCTATTAAAATCATTTCAATCCTACAGCTACTAGCTAGATTCTACTACAGCTAGATTCGTTAAAATAAATTTTGTTTTCAATTATTTCAACTTTAAATTAGTCTACTGTAAAGTTCACACATTGTCGCATAGTCACGTTTGCCTTTCAAGCGTCGATATGAAATATGAATCAAATACAATATAACATCATAGGATAAGATTAAAAATAAGTGTTTATGGGAAGTCTCAAAGTAGTACCACTGACAGAAAATAAAGAATGGAAGAATTATGGTATGGGCATGTTATGTGAAAGACGATAATCATTTGACCAAAAATAAAATAGGTGTCATAGTGACTGAGTGTTTTAAAAAAACTTCAATGGACTGAATAAAATAGGATATGTTGGACAAGATGAGAGATGTGAATGTAGGGATGATGTGTAATACCTAGGTCTGGATGGAAAATAAGAGTCGGCAGTGACTCCAGATAATATGGGATAAGGGCAAGAAGAAGAAGCAATATAACATTGTAGTTATTTCATTCTGATATGGCATAATAGACAATTCTATCTGTTTTTTCCAGCAAAGGATTCATGCTCCACAAAGAACATTAATCCATTAATTTCCATGTTTTTTTTCCCCTACCTTTGATGACAGCTTTGAGAGGCTAGATGAGTCGACTATTATCAAAGCCGGCAATCTGACTTTTGGACAATGATTGGTAAATCAGAAAAACGAATTATTGATTTTGTATTCCATTGGCAGTCACAAAACTCTTCGGAACGACATCTTAGATAAATAACAGGTTAACTATTAACCTTTATTTAATGCAGGTTTTGAACCGTATTCTTTGAAGGAGACGATTATATTCAAATCNCTTCATCCGGCACGAAGACTGGCCCTCCTCCAGTCCAGATTTGAATCCGTTAGATTACAAGATATGGCAACACTTGGAGGAAAAGGCGTGCTCAAAGCCTCATCCCAATTTGGAGTCACTCAAGACATCCTTGATTAAGGCAGCCGCCGATATTTACATGGACCTCGTTCGTGCTGCGATAGACGACTGGCCGCGCAGATTGTAGGCCTGTATTCAAAATCACGGAAGTCATTTTGAATAAACTTTAGTGTCATAAGAATCTATGTTTTGTTAAGTTCATTTTGGTATATGAATGGTTACATAGTGAATAAACTTGTTTGAATTATTTTACATTAAACATGTGACAGAATTTATGACCTGACTAGGTATATAAATGTGTTGTGTCAAAGAAATGGTACATAGTGTGTGTAATGTTTGATTTATTGATTTACTGTATTTATAATAGTGCATAATTAAAAAAATATATTAGCATATTGCACTCCTCTATATTCTTTATAAGTGTGGAAAATTTCGTACTCCTCCGTTCGCGCAATTTTGGTAAAACGGGGTGGGCACAAAGTTTTTGCTTTACGTATTAATATATAGGGACTTTTCGGCGGGAACGCGAGAAGTGAAGTTGTGTGATTTGTTTTATTTTGTCTATTTAGTGTTTCTTCAGGTTTAAATGTGCAATAACAGTGGTTTATTAACTGTTTAATATCTGTGAAAGTGCACAAATGTGGGAAAATGAAACAAAGCCGCTGGACGCAACTTCTCGGGATCCTCCAAAAAGTCCACTGACAAAATCTTAGTAAATGACCACCATTTTACTAAGATTATATTTCATTCCATATCATCTCATTTAATTTAATTTCATACCAGTTGATTAACGTCTCAAATTAATCATTTTCATTTCATTTCACTCCATATTATCATTTTTCATAAAAATAAGAATATAAATTAAAATAAGACATGACTTAAAGGTCTTAGTTACCAGGTAATAAAATAACATAAAAAAAATATTTATATAAAGATTTTAAGCGTTCGTGCCACGTGTTCAATGCGTATTTTTCTGAGTAAATTTTAGTTTGAACCAATGAAGTAGGAAACCTATGGAAATGAAACGTCAACCAAAATTTCGTGCCACTGTGACGTCATCTGGCCACAAAACATGGCGGCTTTAGTGCTGTACAAAAGATTTCAATGTTATCAGGTTTTATCGATAAACGTTCTTGGCTCATTTTATTTTAAATATTGTTGAGTATTATTTATTTGTAGAATTTATACTTTAATGNAGTCGACTATTATCAAAGCCGGCAATCTGACTTTTGGACAATGATTGGTAAATCAGAAAAACGAATTATTGATTTTGTATTCCATTGGCAGTCACAAAACTCTTCGGAACGACATCTTAGATAAATAACAGGTTAACTATTAACCTTTATTTAATGCAGGTTTTGAACCGTATTCTTTGAAGGAGACGATTATATTCAAATCAGTCTGTATTGACATATCAATAACACCGGCCGACATCATTTTCCTTGTTCAAGTTCTGATTATTTTTTTCCACTAATTTGGTAGTGCTGATTACGAAATTATACCTCATTTTATCGTATCACATCAGGTTTTTATTAGGATCATCAGGATCTTATTGAAAAGTTAGGAGCAAAATATAATTCTGGAGATTGGAGACTTTTTATTGATTGGTCTAAAAGGTGTTCTTTTACGCAACACTAATCAGTATGCTTCTGTTCCAGTCGCTCATTCTGTTCATTTGAAAGAGACTTATGAAAATTTAGAAACATTGTTAGATAAAATTGGATATGAAAAACACGGTTGGCAGCTTTGTGGAGATCTAAAAATTATAACCATGTTATTAGGCCAGCAGTCAGGATATACAAAATTTCCATGCTTCTTGTGCGAGTGGGACAGTAGAGCACGAGACAAGCGCTACGTACAAAAACAATGGAATCCTCGTAAAACCCTCAAAGTAGGAACAAAAAACGTTATACAAAAAAAATTAATTAGTCCTGAAAAAATTTTACTGCCTCCGCTTCATATCAAACTCGGTATGATGAAACAGTTCGTTAAAGCATTGGATAAAAACAATGCTAGTTTTGAATACCTGTGTAAAAAAATTCCAAGATTATCTGATGCAAAAATTAAAGAAGGAGTGTTCGATGGACCGCAAATCAGATCTTTGATGGCTGATGAAAAATTTGATGCCACAATGAATAACACTGAATCAGATGCTTGGCTGGCATTCAAAGATGTTGTCAACAATTTTCTAGGAAATAAACATCCCGACTATAAAAATAAGGTTGCAAACTTATTGGATAAGTACCAAAAATTGGGGTGTAATATAAGCATAAAACTCCACTTTCTAGATTCACATGTGGACTTTTTTCCTGATAATCGTGGTGATTACAGTGAAGAGCAGGGAGGAAGGTTTCATCAGGACATAAAAACTATGGAGACAAGGTACCAAGGTCGATGGAATGTGAATATGATGGCTGATTATTGCTGGTCACTGACACGTGATATTACTGAAGATACTCACAAAAAAACTACACCCAGACGTAATTTTGTTGCGAAATGTAAAAGATGTCACTCTAAATAGTCCCTTAGCATTGTTTAGACTCAATGTTTTCTTTGTAAATGTTCAAATAGGTATATGTTTTTGTAATATGATTATTGATTTTTTCTTTAAATTTTGGAAAAAATGCTATTTCCTTTTTGAAGTGAAACTTCTTTATCGGCGTTGGAAAAAAATTTACCGTCACATTTTTCGGTTACGCGTCATATTTTTCCGTTACGCGCCATCTTTTTTGTATTCATGTCTATGATAATAAAATCCTTTTGTTTAAACTTTATCTAATTTAACTTTTTTGTATTCATGTCTATGATAATAAAATCCTTTTGTTTAAACTTTATCTAATTTAACTTTATTTAACCAATTTCTAGAAAGTTGCATGTAGATCATTTTTCGAAAAATAAGGCCATAAACAAGTTTCACTTCTTACGTGTGTACACTAGTACACGCACACATTTTTTTTTTATTTCCGTTACGCGCCATCTGTTTTGTATTCATGTCTATGATAATAAAATCCTTTTGTTTAAACTTTATCTAATTTAACTTTATTTAACCAATTTCTAGAAAGTTGCATGTAGATCATTTTTCGAAAAATAAGGCCATAAACAAGTTTCACTTCTTACGTGTGTACACTAGTACACGCACACATTTTTTTTTTAAATCTAATGTGATAGGGCAAATATGTAGGTGTTTTTGTGTTTAAAATAGTATAAATTGGTGATATTTGTGGCTCAAATACAAACAACTTTCAAAAAATTTTAATTTGTCGGCCGGTGTAATTTTTTTTTGTCCATATGCACAGATTGCCACCTTTGATAATAGACGACTCATATCAGCTCTACCCTAGTGTGTAGGTGAGCTCACGTGGCTCAAACCTGATGTTGCTAGCACGAACCCTAGCAAAAGTCGTGCTTCGCAGAATCTACCATCGGATCGGAAACGCAACCCACGAAGAAGATCAGGCGAGAAACTCGGTGGGCTGTGTTTGTGGGTTAATTTACTCGCCGAGCCCTTCGTCGGTTCGGCGTTCGGGTTCGACGAGAACGATGACCGGTGCTTGGGGTACCTAAAAGCACCGTTAGTGGATCGAGAGGATCTGAGATAAATGTTTTGGGCGACGTCGACTGCTTACTATTCGGTCCG